TTAATGTCCTCAAATGCTTAATTTGTTCCATAAATTGATGTTAAAGCCTTGATTTTTAGGTATATGGATTGAGGAGCAAATCAAGGAAACTAACAGGCAAAAAAGAACAAAACAAACTGAAGAAGTGAAGAAAGGCGAGCCTGATGATCGCCAAGAGCACTTGGCGAATCGCTGAGTGGCTATTTAGACCACCTAATGTTCCAGTGTGCCAGCCCTGAGAGAAGAAACTAAGTCGGCGACAGGAAATGGGCAGTTGGTGAATCACCAATCAGTTAGCGATGGCAAGAGTGATCACCCAAAGTTACAGAACTTGAGGATGATGAGAGTCAATGCAAAAAGGCGATAGAATAGAGCGATGGACAGTTTGCCAAACCACTCGACGAACCCGACTTACCTCGTCTAATGGCCCTTCGTGGCTAATTTTTGGCAACTATAAATTGAATTTTGAACTATTAATTTAGAAGTTCTCTTCCCCAGATTTTAGCTTACTACCATTTTAGAATAGTTTCCCAGTAGACTTGAAGGCTTTTTGAGACTCAATTTGAAGATTTTGCAAGTGGGTCACTAATTTTCTTCAAATTAGAGCATTGTAAAGGCTTGAATACTCTTACCCAATTGATGGATAATCGATTTGGTAACCGTTTTTTTTATCTTTTTATGATGTTTGGCTAAAACTCCAATTCTTGGGGGTGGATCATGTGATTATGGGTTGAATTAGCTTATGGGTATTGCTTATTACTAATTTAAATGCAATATTGAAGTGGGTTTAATCATTAGCTGTTTTTTTATTTATGAATTGTAGTTGCAAATGCTATTCTAATTTTGTGTTCTTAGCTTGCTCGAGAGAGAAGTTTTAGAACCAAAGCTTTTGATTAATGGTTTGTGGGTATTGGGTTGATTTGGTTTCAGCTCAAGAGAGTGAACCCTAAACCCAATCCTACCCATCTTGCTTGAAAGAGAAGGGGTATTAAGGTTGTGGGTTGTTCTTAATTGCTATGCTTGTTGATGTTCGAGATAAATCACTTGAATCAAAGTAGTTGTTCGAGAGAAAGCTATTTCATTTATAGTCTAGCCACTGATATTTAGCTATTTATTAGTAGTTTCAATTACCCATATAGCAAAATTTTCCTATAATCAATCACATCCCGAGAATTTGTCTCCATATTGTTATTTTATCATTGTTTGACTGCGTTATAGTTGATATTTGCAAACCAAAACCCCCCATTTGACATTCGTGTCACCCCTTTTGACTTGTTTTTATGTATTTTTCGATAATATGTATTCCTATAGCTAGTTAGATCACATTTGTACTTCATAACTGAACTTTGAACACGTACCACTCCCTGTGGGTTCGATCCCAACTCATTTGTTGGGTTTTATATTGCTTAACGATCGTTTACACCTAGAATTGGATGACATGTGCTTGAAGCGTTATTCATCATGGACTCCACATTTAGCTCATGTGGTTTTATGTCGGTTGTTAGTAGCTCCCATAGACAGATAAATTCTAGGGTATTGAGCAAGTTATCAGTTACAGTTCAACGCTCAGTTTCAGTATGTTATAACTTGGTCAATACATCCAGTTAGTTCATATTCAACATGTTTAGAATATTCTGCATGTTTATCTTATGTCATTGATCAATATGCTCTATTTCAGTTATGTTATATTGTTCAGTTTATTCTATCCTGCATGCTCAGTACCTTCAAGTACTGACGCATACTCTGCGCTACATCTTCTCGTGATGTAGGTTCAGGTCGTCAACATTCAGATCACACATAGATCGGCTTCCGATCTCCAGTTCATCAACATTAGTGGTGAGTCCTCATTCGTTAAGGACGATTAACATGTTATCTTTCCATTTTAAGTATTTTAGTTTTAGTTTTTCTAGAGTTAGTTGGGGATATGTCTCAGCATCTCTAGTCAGTTAGAGGCTTTCATTCAGACATAGTTAGATTCAGTTTTAGTGTTGAGCTTGATCTTTCAGTTGTTTAGTGAACTCTCAGTTTTATACATTAAGACTCAAAATGGGAATCTCCCCATCATTTCACTTTATGATATGTTTCTAGCTTCCGCTCAGTATGTCTATTATGTTGAAAATCTTTTAGCATGCTTATGATATGCCAACTGGATTAGCTTGGGGTCACTCGTGATCCTAGGTCCCGTGTCCACGCCCTATGGGTAGCTTTAGGGCGTGACAAGAATAGCCTTTCAGTAAATCACAACAACATTATCATAATCATGGAAACTTTATTCATAGTCATGCATAAGGGTGTATGTGAGAATACCCTTTCAACAACACCACAATTACATCATAGTCATAATCTCTTTACTCTCAAAGTGTTCTTAAATTATATACTTAACCTTCATAAAAAATGCATAATATCATATGTTTCCCTTTCAAGGTTATAAGCTCATATCAAATCAACATATCTAGAATGACTACATCAGACATGGATATAATCACAATTCAAGTGATAGAATCATTACATGCATGAATTAATTTACTCATAATATAGGTCATGTGGGTGAAGTCCTTCCACAATAATACCATACGCAATTCAACCTGCATAATATCTTCACTCTTAAAGCCTTAACATTCCTAGTTTATTAATATTAGCTTTTACCCTCAAAGCCCTAGAAATCACATTCATACTACATGCCTTACCCTCAATCAATACTTCACATGGTCATTATATATGCCTAATTCTCAAGATAATCCAACCACATGCTTCATTCTTAACCAATTATATTCATATATCATCATGCAAACTCAATCTCAACACTACTAAATCATGATCCATCATATAAGCCATAATCTAATAAATTCATGTCTACAGGCTTTACCTTTAAGCAATACATACATAGGTACTCTAATCTCAAGTAATTCATAAAGTAATTCATCAATCTTAGAAGGTCACATCTAAGCCCTCAATTTCCTTTTTCATGGCATAAAACCAAACTATATCAATTTCACCCTAAATTCTTAGATAATAAAGAATACATGTATAATCATACTAAAAACATGTAATTACATCATAAAGAATCATAAACAACCACCCACTCAATTGGATCAACATACAACAATTCCCACAATATAGGAAGGATCCCTAACTAGAATTGGGGATTCATCTTCACAATTGGGGGAGATATGGGGGCTTCATAGATGAAAGGGATCCATGAAAGAATAAGCCATCATAACTTGATTACAAAGACTAGAAAGCTTGAAAAAATGGAGTCTTGACCTAGTTTGCTTCTTCTTCTTCTCCTTCTCCTTCTCCTACTTCTCCTCCTCCTTCTGCTCCTCCTTCTTCTTCTCCTTCTCCTTCTTCTCCTTCTCCTTCTCCTCCTTCTCCTCTTCCTTCTCCTTCTCCTGCTTCTTTTTCTTCTCCTTTTCCTTCTCCTTCTGCTTCTTCTTCTTCTTCTCCTCCTCCTCCTCCTCCTCCTTCTTCTTCTTTTTCTTCTTCTTCTTCTTTTTCTTCTTCTTCTTCTTCTTCTTCTTCTTCTTCTTCTTCTAAATAGATGATTTTTGAGATGGAGGGAATTGGGTTCTTTTTGGTGAGTTGAAATAATGATTTGGAATGGCTTAATTAAGGGTCTAAAGTCCTTATATCGTTTGTCTAAACTAGGGTAAAATGACATCACTTAATAACTTATTAATTTCGGAAGGTTCCACTAATCCCTTCACTAACCGACCTAAACCTCCTCACTTCCCCATCCACGAGACCACGCCCACGGGACGTGGGTGGACCCACAAGGCGTGCTGTCAATTATGGGTTGGTTGGCTGCAAGTGTTCAAGGTAGGCTTGGCCCCTATGCCCCTATCCACGAGGCGTGGACCCATCCACAGGAAGTGGGTCCAGCCGTAGACACTGCCTTAGGCAGATTTTGGGCAGTCTCTTTAGGGTGCTCATCCACGAGGCTTCCCATAGGGCGTGGGTCTAACCACGGGGTGTGGATGGCCTCGTGGGTGGCACTATTTTTGGGCAGTTCTAGGGTCCTTCTCAAGGGCCTATGGTTGGTCCTGGGGAGTTGTACCTTGAAGTTCTTGCCCGAAACCCTTCATTTCTAAGTACGGGAAGTTAAATCTATGACTCTAACCATCACGTCAAGCTCTAGTTGACCTACTAGTTTTCGGGGTGTTACAATATTTCCTTCTTGGGAACATTCATCCTCGAATGACATTCTAGGAACTTCTTAAGGTCACGATTCTAGACTAGCAACCCATCATTCATGCAACTCATCTAAATGCACATAAACAAAGGAGGAACTTCATCTCCCAACTAAACATGCTCAATGCAACACAAGGAAGTAGGAACTACCTCTAACAACCCAAAATGCAAAAAATTCTCATAACTAGTCATGTTCAAGGAGGAACTACCATCTCAGAATTAAAACATGCTCACATAATCTCATGGAGCTCATACAAAATTTGCTCTAAAAAACAATCATTCAAGGAGAAATCTCTCAACTCCGAACTAAGGCATGCTCATATATTCATCTCATGAAGTTAAGTAGACAACTTGTACTCAATGCACTACAACATGAGGAAATAAATAATGTAAACTCATTTTCTTTAAATCACAAGCTTTCATGAACATGCATTATATAAGGAAATCATGGCAACACATAAGCACATAACGACCTTGCTATCTAAGCACATAATCTCCCCCTTGGGAGCAACCCTAAATGGACTTTCTAAGCATTATTTATTTCAATTCAACTAAGGTCGGATCCACACTCTAAGATCAATCTTAAAAAGATAACTACCTCTTTGAAGTTGGTCAACACATACACTTTTCTCCTTCACCTTAACTAGGTGGAACATGCAACCCTCAAAGTCAATCATAAGACAAAGCATAATCCCAACTTATGGCATAGAGCTCATTAGGGAATTAAGAATTTGACTATTCGGGTTCTACAATCACATAGGACCATAGTAGGAGTGCAACCAAGACATCACAAAAATGACATGAAAACCTATTAAAGCATGAACAATCAATTAAGAAGCTATCAACATACCCGTTTCCACATTGGGAGCACACTCTTCTTCACCTCTAACTTGAAGTGAATAAAACCAGTTTTGCTTAGGGGCATTCACACCTAAACCAATTGGACCGGATGAAGGGTAGGGTTGAGATATACGACGACTATCTCCCTCATTTCTAGAAATTGTAGGGCAATGCCTTATCTTGTGGCCTAGGTTTCCACAACCAAAACAAACATTGGAACCAGCTAAGCATTCACCGTCATGCCTTCTATCACACTTACTACATGCTGGTAATAAAACCCCACTACCATCTCTTTGAGGCTTAGGGTTAGACACCCTCTCTTGGTTGAACTTAGGAGCATCATCTCTTCCTTTAGCCTTTGCCTTGGGGAAATTCCGCATTTTGTGACCACTCTCACCATAACTAGAACAACCCTTCTTACCGGCTAAACATCTACCCTCATGTCTGTTTCCACTCCTAGCACAAGTAGGCCATAGGGACTCATCACTAATTCCAGGTGGCTTAGGGTTAGACACCCTCTCTTCCTTATAGTTAGGAGCATTAGAAGAACCTTGTCTAGAAAACCTTTATCGGTTCCTAGAACGACCATGTCCATTGGACCCATCATAAAAGGACTTATCATCATCCATTCTAGACCTCTTTTTCTCCCTATTAACTTGTGCCTTCATGGCTTGATCCAAAACTTGAAAAGCCGACCTAAACTCCGCATGAGTAACATTCTCAACTAAAGGATCAATTGAAGCTTGAGGAGGAGCTTGGGGAGGAACCTCTTGATCCACCACGTCTTCCTCATTCCTTCTAGCATTTGCCCTTGTGGTCGTCATATCCTGAAAACTATAGGGCACGGATTAGGAGAAAGACCTAACAGAGCTAAACTCTATAGCATTACTTAGAGAATGAAGAAGTGAAGTTTCCTAATCATCTAATAGCTTCCCATTCATAAATATGGCGCGCTTCACACTTATGAACAAGACTCTACTAGACTTGGTTTTGAGACAATCCTAGAATCATTCTAAACCTTGTGATCTGATTACCAAGTTTGTCATGACCCAGGGGTACCGCCTAGTTATAACAAGGTGTACTCAACCCCAAAGGGTATCATACAAGCCCCTTAGCATATCATAACATAAACTAAACATAAATGATGCATAAATTTTAGAACTTTTCTTTACAGTCGAAGTCTTTTATAAAAACAATCGTAAGTCTATAACACTTTGTCTCAAACCCTCTAAAACAACTTGAATAACTCTTTGGGACGCAGCCCATACATGAGTATAAAACATAAAAGAACGACATAAGTAAAGGTGATCACATCCTCGATGCTATAAGGACTCACAAAGTCTTCAACTCCTTGCTCTACTACAAACCTAGCCACGGGAATGGAACTAAATATCACCAAACCTTACATTTGATAAGAATGTAGGAAAAAGTATGTGTTAGTACAATAATTTACTAAATATGATGGCTAGAATAATCATCAAGATTAGCATGAAAAGGAATTAGTCAACATAAGACACATACCATAGTCATAAGAGACGATAACATGAGTTATAAACATAAGAGACACCATCATAAGACATAGGCTATAGTCATAATAGATAACAACATGATCATAAAAAAAATCTCCAACATAAACATAATGTAATCATTAGTCATCATAAGGCATAGTTCTTATACATAGTCAATACTTAGATCTTCTTATCATAAGAGAACCACTTCAATAGTAACCTCCAAGTTTACTTGTGCAATGCATGGATAAGACCCCATAATCCCATCCATGCAAAATATCCCCTTTGGCCACCATGATCATACTTACCATTTTCACCTCATCCTTATCTTATTTCTCATAGACAACGGAGCATTCACCTTTAGTCACACATGTATTGGAAAGAAACTATAGCAATAACCGAAATAGGCATATAACATAAGCATAAGTCATAAGCATGTTATTACATATATCTTCATAACATAATAGGAACATATCATGACTACCTTCAAAGCATACTTGTGCAATGCATGAGTAAGACCCCATTAATCTCACTCATACTAAGTAAAGCTTATTGGGTAACCATAATTCATAATTCATGGTCTTGTTGTAATAGTGGGAATTAGCCTTAACCGACATGGACCATGTGAGCTTAACATGGAATCCAGTGTTACCCATATCGAAAAGGGTTGTCTTACTTGCATAAGGTAAGACCATGGCGTGTTAGATTTAGGTGGATCCAATAGCTAAATAACCTACCGGGGCACGTAGTTTATGGGATAAGAAGATTGCTACTAGAAACCCGCCCTTTCTGATTGGGGAGCTTCCATCTTAAGAGATTACTTCAAGGAATCCGCCCTTTCTGACGGGAGAGATTCCTTCTAGAAACACACCCTTTCTGACGAGAGAATTTCCATCTCACATCAATATCCACTCGGTGCTAAGCATAATTCCCATGGGGTACTTGTTAATTCATCTTGTTTTATTAGAACAACTCATTAGATCACGCGTGAGAATAACATTTTACCGTCCATGTCTACATGTAACATTGGATTCAATTAGGTGAGAATTGCCTTTCCACGTTAGAATCTTCATTATGTGAGAAAACCTTACACATCATGTTCATTATATGTTCATGAGAATAACCTTTCAATGAATCACAATAACATTATCCTAATCATGGACACTTCATTCATAGTCATGCATAAGGATGTATGTGAGAATAGCCTTTTAACAACACCACATTTACATCATAGTCATAATCACTTTACTTTCAAAGTGTTCTTAATGCATATACTTAACCTTCATATAACATACATAATATCATATGTTGCCCTTTCAAGGTTCTAAGCTCATATCAAATCAACACATCTAGAATGACTACATTAGACATGGATATAATCACAATTCAAGTAATAAAATCATTACATGCATGATCTCATATACTCATAATATAGGTCATGTGAGTGAAGTCCTTCCACAATAATACCATATGCGATTCAACATGCATAATAACTTCACTCTTAAAGCCTTAACATTCCTAGTTCATTCATATTAGCTTTTACCCTCAAAGCCCTAGAAATCACATTCATACTACAAGCCTTACCCTCAATCAATACCCCAAATGGTCATCAAAGATGCCTAATTCTCAAGATAATCTAACCACATGCTTCATTCTTAACCAATTATAGTCATATATCATCATTCAAACTCAATCTCAACACTACTAAATCATGATCCATCATATAAGCCCTATTCTAATCAACCCATGTCTACAAGCTTTACTTTTAAGCAATTCATACATAGGTACTCTAATCTCAAGTAATTCATAAAGTAATTCATCAATCTTAGAAGGTCACATCTAAGCCCTCAATTTCCTTTTTCATGGCATAAAACCAAACTATATGAATTTCACCCTAAAATCTTAGATTAATCAAGAATAAATGTATAATCATACTAAAAACATGTATTACATCATAAACAATAATAAACAACCATTATCCACTCAATTGGATCAACATACAACAATACCCACAATATAGGAAGGATCCCTAACTAGAATTGGGGATTCATCTTCACAATTGGCGGAGACATTGGGGATTCATGGATGAAAGGGATCCATGAATGAATAAGCCATCATACCTTGATTACAAAGCCTAAAAAGCTTGAAACAATGGAGTCTTGACCTAGCTTGCTTCTCTTATTCTTTGTCTTCTAGAGAGAGGATATTGGGTTCTTTTTGGTGAGTTGAAATAATGTTTTGGAATGGCTTAATTAAGGGTCTAAAGTACTTATATAGTTGGTCTAAACTAGGGAAAAATGACATCTCTTAATAACTAATTAATTCTGGAAGATTCCACTAACCCCTTCACTAACCGATCTAAACCTCCTCACCGTCCCATCCTTGAGATCACACCCACGAGCCGTGGGTGGACCCACGGAGCGTGCTGTCAATCATGGTTTGGTTGGCTGCAAGTGTTCAAGGCAGGCTTGGAACCTACGCCCCCATCCACGAAGCGTGGACCCATCCACGGGGCGTGGGTCTAGCCGTGGACACTGCCTTAAAAAGATTTTGGGCAGTCTCTTTAGGGTGCTCATCCACGAGGCTTCCCACGGGGCGTGGGTCTAACAACGGGGCGTGGATGGCCTTGTGGGTAGAACTATTTTTTGGGCAGTTCTAGGGTCCTCTTTAAGGATCCATGGTTGGTCCTTGGGGAGTCGTACCTTGACGTTCTAGCCCGAAACCCTTCATTTATAAGTACGGGAAGTTGAATCTATTACTCTAACCCTCACGTGAAGCTCTAGTTGACCTACTTGTTTCCGGGGTGTTACACTCATAAACTTATAAAATTCTCAATATGAACTTAAAGTTCAAAACCAACCTTTCAAACTAAAATGACTCGGGGTCGATAACGGGAGGGACAAAATGGTAATTTCACAAAACTTCCCAAAAAAGACCAGTCAGACCATTACAACTCTTCTTTCCCATAGACACAACTCCTATAGGTTCATCACTTATTCTCTCACCATCCATTAATTCATCACAAAATTGTGTAGTTAAAATGGTCAAATTCACCGTGTTCAATTCTTCTTTCTAAGAACAAGATTTGAAGACCCAACAACAAACTATTCGTGATTAGTAAAGAAATAACATTATATTAAAACAAGGTGGAAAAGTTCCACACACATTAACCATTTAGCAGTCGAGAGCATAATTTTAGTTCAATAGCTAGAAAACCATTTAATTTTTTTTGAAACTAGAAAGTTTAATAGGACAAATATCAACAACGCTAGTAGGGATTAGTGTATCTCAACTTTCATCAGAACTATTCCAAAAGAATTTAAGATTTAAATCAATCATTCTGAGATTGTCATTCCATGTATCATATGACTTCTACACATCTATACATATGGAAGCAGATAAAGATGACTAGTTTAAGTACAATACTACAACATCTACTACTATTGAATCTTAATTTCAAACAAGTTAGGGCCCAATTAATATAAATCCTCTCAGACCATTTATCTCAATTTAAATTCATCGTATGCAACACATTCTACGTACAATTAACTACACATATGAGGAAAGAGCAGTGCTTATAACGTAATTGTTGACACCCCAATCTAAGTAACATTAGATATGAATCTAGTTCTTCGAGTAGAATTCATAAGAAGGCAAGATAAAAGTTCTTGTTTTTACCCTTTAAGGAACCACTTCTACCTCAACACATTAACTATTGATAATCGAACACGTCCCAAAAGAGTAAAATATTAGCACATCTATAAGAGTAAGAAAAACTACAAATAGACCTTCAATTGATTTATTTTTAAAACCTCATTTTGATATACTTCAGAGGTGAAAAAATAATTTTTTTCAAAAAAGGCATATCTCATAGCAATAGCACCCATCAACAACCATTAGATCCTATTATTGAAATATTATAACCAGTGTCATGGGATTTTTTAAAATCCATAATAGTGGATATGTAAAATTTAACCCGAAAATATGATCATGTGTTAGGTAAGGAAACTTACGTAGCAACAAAGGTACAGATGTCGCAGAAGGAGGCTTTTTCATCAATATTAAAACATTAAATAATGAACATTCATCTCATTATTTTCCACTATTTTAATATTGAAACGACAAAGTAAAAATCACCTCATTTTGTAATAATTCTCATGTCTTCACTTGCCGGCCAATCAATCTTTGGACATTGGATTCTCAAGAAATTGCAACCATTATGTCTTTATTTTGTGTTCTAGCTTTCATTGAAAAATCTCCACTGTGAAGGTGTAGCAATGCTATCTCTCCAGTATTCGGGTGAAGTAGAGATAGTA